ACCTTTGTTAAAAGGAGGTCCTAGATTTGCAGATAATCCAGAACTCTGCAGCCCGTGTCCTCTCCCGCACCAAACTCTGTGACCTCATTCTCGCCCGACTCCATTGACTCCCTATCCTTCAGAGGATCCTGTTCAAAATCCTGGTTCTCACCTACAAAGCCCTCCATGGCCTCGCTCGACCCTATCACTGTGGCCTCCTAAACCCCTACCAACCCTTCCGCTCCCTCCCCTCAGCCGGCTCCAGCCTGCTCCAAGTCTCCCAACCCACCAGCCCCATCATTGGCGGGAGAGCCTTCATCCACTCTGCCCCCAAACTCTGGAACTCTATCCCCCCAATCACTCCGCCTCACCCCCTCTTTAGCCTCCTTCAAGTCCCACCTCAAAACTCTCCTCTTTGACTATGCCATTGGTCACCCCCTTCCCCTCCCTTCTCCCTCCCTGACCCCAGCTTGGGTCTGAAATGCTGTACACTGTCCAGCGCCTTGGGACGTCCTCCTGATGTGAAAGGTGCTATACAAATGTAATCTTGTTGTTGTTGTTGTTATTTTCCAAGATGAACTCTCTGCTATATTTGGCACTGCACTGCACCCAACTCCTCCCTCCATAGGCTGCAGATCATCCAAAACTCTGCAGCCCGTGTCCTCTCCCGCACCAGGCTTCGCGACCCTATTAATCGCATCCTTACCCAACTCCACTGGCTTCCGATCACACAGAGAGTACAGTTCAAGATCCTGGTACACACCTTCAAAGCCCTCCACGGTCTTGCTCCCCCCCTACCTCCCCAACCTCCTAACCCCCTACCACCCTGTTCACTCCCTCCGCTCAGCAGGCTCCGGCCAGCTTCACGTCCCCCGCCTTGCTCGCCCTACTATTGGCAGGCAGGCTTTCCGCCTATCTGCACCCACCCTCTGGAACTCCATCCCATAGTCCCTCTGTCTCACCCCCTCCTTCACCACCTTCAAGGCTCACCTCAAGACCGTCCTCTTCAACCGTATTTTCAATCTTCTTGCTTCCACCCCTGCCCTCCACTCTCCTGCGCCCCGACCCCCAGCTCGGGTCTGTAACTCTGTCTGTCCAGCGCTTTGGGGCCTCCTCCCGACATGAAAGGCACTATACAAATGTAATTTTGTTGTTGTTGTTGCGCTTATCCGCCCATTCACGGAATTTATCTCAGCTGATTTCAACCAATGTCTCTGATTGTTGCGATATTCATGTTATCTTACTTGGGATTCACCTTTGTTCACCTGAAACTCTCATCTGAAATGCAAGAAATCATATCCCAAGATCAATTTGGATGAAGGAAGTCCTTCAGCCTATTTGATCTCATCCATCCAGAATGCCCATCCTATCATTTTACCATCACTGTATTAAGCTGCTTCTTAAATGAATCCGGTGTCCTAGCCGTTACCACCCTACCTGACAATCTGTTCCAGTCATTAATTATCTTCTGGGTAAAAAAAAACTTGTTGTCTGGTGCACCCTAAAGTATTGTACTGGGTTTAATTTTTCAATCTTATTTGAAAACGTTTATAAAATTGTGTGTAGGATCCCCTCTGAGACATCTTTCAAAACTGAAGAGCCCTAGCTTAACTACTCGTTGCTCATAGTTCATCCCTCTAACACTGGGAATCATCCTCATTGCTCGCTGAAACTGCCTCTAGGACCTCAGTAGCCTTATGTTGCAGCGACTAGAACTGTACATGGTAATCTGGGCACAGACTGACCAGAGCACGATATAGCTTGATTATGACAACTGGGGATCTGAAGTCAACTGACCTTTATTCCCACGCTCATCACCTTCCCCTCTGAGATCATGATGTGATTATCATAAGGGCAGAAAATGCAATTGTTTTGTGTCTTTAACAATTAAGATCATAAATCAGTTTTGGATGAAGAAGGTCCTTCAGATCTCACACTTTCAGAATACACTTTTAATCACAGCGTTATGCCATTTCTTAAACAGATGCTGATCTCGACCATCTTTCATGGTAACACATTCCAGTCTTTAATTATCCTCTGTGTGAAGAAATAGTTGTTGGTGTTTGATTTGAAATTTCTCTACACAACTCTGAACCTGTTCCATCTTGTTCTACTGCTTTGACATATCTGAAAGCATTTGTACGTACATATCTGAAAGCATACAGACACACACACACACACACACACACACACACATACATACATACATGTCCTGTCTGCCTGCCTCCCTGCCTGCCTGGTGGATGTTAAAGATCCCATGGAATTATTTGAAAGGAAAAGGGAGTTTCTCCCGGTATACTGGCCAACAGTCCCCAAATAAAATTGGTTCTCACTTCATGGCTGAAGTATTGCACTCTACGGTATATCAAGTGAAGGAGGATATCGAGACATCCTCCTACATGAAAGGCTCTATATGAAACGCAAAGATTTTTTTTGTTCAGACAGGTGTCTAACACATCAGAAACCAATCACTATGCTCAGGAGTATCCAAACCAAGCTGAGAATTCCATATATCCCACTTACACTAAAAATCCCAGAGATAAATTGTTGGAATGAATGCGCACTCTCTCCCTGGAGGGATGCATCCTGCTTACCTAATTCCGGAAAGTAGTAGGTGGAGGTTGGCAAGAGTAAAGAATTAGGGACACCAGAGTGTGCATTGCTGGAGTCTAACCACCTAAAGCTGCATAGCTTTCCCATTGATATCACGAATTTCATGCTTGTCCAGCTAGGTCCAACCTACCCATTGGGGCTTTGGCTTGCTTGGTTAACAGGAGCTGAGTGGGAGGGTTCCCTGCCACGGTCACTAGTCTTCCCTTTCCTGATACTGAACCAGGCTGACTATGGTGTCATTAGCAATGCCCTAGAATACTGTGGATCCGCCAGGCTCAGAAACCGGATTACCAAGAACGTAACGGAGGGATGGCTTGATTCCAACATTCTGTTGCCAAACATGTCACCTTGGAACCAGTTCAGCTCCAAAGAGACCCTACCCGTGCAGTCCTGTAGCTCAGTGGTTAGAGCACTCGCTTTGCAAGCTAGAGACCTGAGTTCAATTCCAGGCAGAGGGCGAAACCTTGGGCAAGTTTCCTTACTCCACACGCCTAATAATAATCCCTCAAAAAAACAAAACAATAATAAAATTGGTCATTTTCAATCTACGACTGTTTGTGGGACATTGCTGTGCGCAATTGGCTGCCGCGTTCGCCCACAAATATACAGTCAATTCACCTTACAGCATATTCTGTGAAGTGCTTTGAGACATCTAGAAGACGTGAAAAGTGCTATATCAAATGCAAGGATTATTATTAAGGTAAAGCACTTTAAGTTATTTTGACACTGTGATAAGGCAAACACAAGGGTTATTAACACTTCAAAGAATGTTTCATTCAAAACATGATCGGGATTTGCTGTTTAATAATAGAAAATCAAAGCAGTATGTTCTATAGGCATAAAACTTCAAGGTAATGTATATATTTTTTATTTCTGATTGTTTTAATGTTCTTGCAATAGTTTTACTTGTCCCGCTGCATCACGTCTTCTCCCCTTCTCCAGCCCTATCTTTAGAATTATCTTCCATTTCACTTGCTGATCGATTGATCTGTGCAATTCCAGCTCTGTCTGGTTTTGCAATTGTCCTGCTTGTGGTGACCTGCTTCTGTGGGAGCAAAGCTTGAGCCAAAGTGACTCATTTCCAACTTGGGGGCTTGACCTAGACCAACCAATAAACAGAGCGTGAGCCGGCAGGACTGTCAATGGCAGGGAGGAAGCAATGATCTGAATGACACAATTGGCCGGGGGTTTTGCCGAGGGTGTATCACTGCAAAGTGGTGTCAGGCTTCTGGAAGTTTCACATCCTCCCGACGTGAAAAGCGCTATACTAAATGCAAGGATTATTATTATTATTACCCGCCTTCCGGAGGCTAGATCACAGAAATGATTATCTTATATAGTTGAGTTAATATCACTCCTCTTGTATTCTAGTAAATGCTGTACAAACAAATTCTTCAAAAACCTACATCCTTTTCAATTAAAAAAACTGACCTCTATTTTATAAATAGGCTATTATAAACATACTATAGCTATTGGGCAGAGAGGGAGAGGTAGGAGAAAATCAGATAATTATTTCTGTAACACAAACTGCTTTCAGTTTTTCGATGTTATAATACAATAAATTAACTGGCTTGTTTTCATATGTAACAATTGCTTTTCACTACAATTTAAGGTCATATGCATACTTACCACCCAAGCATAACTGCTGCATTCTCACCCACCTCCCATAAGAATATTCATTGGATTTGATATAGCATCTTTCACATTGGGAGGATGTCTCAAAGCTCTTCATAGGATTCAACTGTAAAGTGTCATAACTGTATTTTGTAGGAGAATGCTGAGGGCAATTTACACACAGCGATGTCAAACAAACAGTCATGAAGTGAATGGCCAATTTTATTTGGGGGATTGCTGGCCAGAACACCAGGGGAAACTCCCTTCTCTTTTTGAATAGTGCCGTTGGATGATTAACATCCACCTGTATAGGCAGAAGGGATGCTTTGTAAGGACAACACCTCTGACAATGCAAGGCGACCCCAGGACTGCACTGGAGTGTCAGCGTAGACCATGTGCAGCATAGAACCTTACACACGTAGCAAGCCTTTCAAAAACAACCGCTCTGTTCAGATGAGCCACGTTAGTTAACACCATACCATTTTATAAATAGATAATATAACCTCAATTGGTCATCTTTTGGGCGCAATCGATAACTATTTTTGCCCACAAAACACACACAGTTACTCCACTTTACAGTATATCCTGTGAAGCGCTTTGAGATGTCTTGACAATGTGATAAGGCACTTTATCAAATGCAAGGATTATTATTGTTAATTACTTTGCGAGCAGGTGACAGGACCGACTGGTGCGAATTTGAGCCTTTGGTTGACTGGACACACCAGCCTTCAACACACCCATCGACCGAGCCTCTGCCGTTCAAGGAAAGAGAACGTGTAAGAAGTGAACCTCACCTTTGAAATTGAGCCAGGAAACGTACAGCGACAGAGAGAGAAAGGCACCCAAGACGAGAAGTGTTAGAACATTTGCAATCCGGAGCCTCATTTCATGACATCTCACGAGATCCTCATCCAGCGATAGCGGGCGCTGCTGGGCACGGGCTGGGCGGACCACTCCGCTGTCTGGCAAGCTTTGACCGCTGCTTGCCCAGCTAGGACCACCCGACCCGTTAAGGGCTTTGGCTTGCGGGCTCAACGGGAGCGGAAGAATTCCCTGCCTTCTTCCCCCCCCGCCCGCCCGCCCCCCCAAGTGACCGGTCCGCCCTTTCGGGGCTCCTGACGATGAGCCAGGCTGGGCTGGTGGGATGCTCTGGGGATGTCCAGGTAGATCAGTGCTGCCTCTCAGACACGCAAAGACGCCAAGTCCGCTGTTCACCTTCGGTCTCCTCTAACAGTTGCTCCCTGAAGTCAAGTCGCTGTGCACCTGGTTGCTGCTCACCAACATCACATCCAACCCCCTTTTTCTCCTCCTCCTCCTCCTCCTTCTCCTCCTCCTCTACAGGTGGTCCCACCTTCACACCCCAGCAGCACTTCTCTTGTTTAAACTCTTCCCCCCTCCCCCCCCCCCCCCCCACCACCCTCAGTCCCTCTCTGGCTATCTCTGTTGGTTGCTCTTTTCTGACACAGCCTTCAGATCAGTTTGACTCCCCCCCCCCCCTCTCTCAGCCTTGGGTACATGCGAGAGCTTCAGCTCTCAGGCACCGACTGCAGTTGCTTCCTCTTTCTCTCCTTTCTCTTTCTCTCCTCTCTCTCTCGCATTGCACGTTACAGACTCCGCCCTTTCTTTCACTTTCCACACTTCCTCCTGCTGTCAGCTCTATCCATCCATCCCATCCATCCATCCATCCCTCTCCCTCTCTCTCTGTCTCTCTGTCTCTCTCTTTCGAGATCTGTTGTGCACTTAAACATTATGCAATGCTTAACCTGATCTCAAATCTCTTTCAGGGGGTTTTGCTCACAACTCCCTCTGGATCCATCCATGCGTCTGTCTGTGTTTCTCTGGTATTTTGCCTGTGTGGATGTGGTCTGCATGTATGTGTGTGTGTGTGTGTGTGTATATGTGTGTGTGTGTGTGTGTGTCTCCCTCTCTCTTCCACTTGTGTCTGCTTCTCCAACTCTCTTGGGGTGTTGTTTCTTGCAGGTGTACCTCCTGTGCTCCAGTGTGTGTGTGTGTGTGTGTGTGTCCAGATTGCTTTATGACTTTATCTCTTGGTTTCTCAATGAGTATCTGTGTGTGTGTTGGTGTGTATCTGGATGGCTCTATCACTATGTGTGTGTGTGTGTGTGTGTGTGTGGATTGTTCTCAGTATGTGCAGGTGTGTGTTTCTGTGGCTTTTAAGTGTGTGTGTGTGTGTGAGTGAGTGAGTGTGCATATGTCCCTGTTGCTCTATTTGTGTGTGTGTCTCTCTCTCCAGTATTGCTCTGCTTTGAGTGCTGTGTGTGAGTGTTTGTCCCTCTCTCTCTACTATTGCTGTTATAATTGCTGTGTGTCTCTTTCTCTCTCTAATATTGCTCTGTTATAATTGCTGTGTCTCTCTCTAATATTGCTCTGTTATAATTGCTGTCTCTCTCTCTAATATTGCTCTGTTATAATTGCTGTGTCTCTCTCTAATATTGCTCTGTTATAATTGCTGTGTCTCTCTCTAATATTGCTCTGTTATAATTGCTGTGTGTCTCTTTCTCTAATATTGCTCTGTTATATTTGCTGTGTCTCTCTCTAATATTGCTCTGTTATACTTGCTGTGTGTGTATATGTGTGTCTCTCTCTCTAGTATTGCTCTGTTGTAACTGCTGTGACTGTGTGTCTTTCTCTCTCCCCTGTGCTGCTGTGTGTGCCTGTTGCTGTCTGTCTGGTTCGCACAGAAAGGCTGTGTCCAGAGAGTAACTTTCTCTGCCCCCCCATTTCAACTTTACTCCACACTTGGGCTCATTGCCTCTTGACTCTCCTCGCTGGTCCCTGGTGGCTTGTTTTACTGTCAACTGTGCTTAGATTTTCGATGCAAATAACCAGAACAGTCTGCGTCGTTAGGAATAATACAGTATTGCGGTGTATCTGCATTCCTAAAGCAACATGTCCTGTGGATTTGTTGCGGTACATACAGTATATTTACTGAGTGAGTGAAGAGAAAATGTTGAAGAGCCACCTAGCGGTACATCCTGTGCAGTTCAACATCTGTAACTGGTGAAACAAGCACTGTATTTACTTAAAATTGTCATCAAACTAGCACTAATATATATTATTTATTCTCGACTTCTCAGAACGCTTCGCAGAATAGACTGTAAAGTGAATTGACCGTATATTTGCGGACGAATCGCGGCAACCAATTGCGCACAGCAGTGTCCCACAAACAGTCACAAACATTGAAAATGTTTGAACAGTTGAACAGTCCCACAAACATTGTTTGTCTTGGAGGGATTATTATTGGGCATGTGGACTAAAGAAACATGCCCAAGGTTTCGCCCTGCCTGGAATTGAGCCAGGAACCAAGAACTGATTAGAGCAATGGGTGTTGTTTAGAGCAATGTGCAAATTTCCAAAGAAGCATAATCTTGTAGCTTCTCACAGTGTGTGCATTATAATTTCTTTTTTTTATTTTTAACAAAATCAGCACATGCTAAGCTGGATGTCAGTGCTATCACCATATGCTGCCCAGATGGCTTGCCTCAAACCCATTGCTCTTTTTCTATGCAAGTTGTAAACGATGCCTTGCAGAGTCATTTCTTTTTTCTTAAGTATTAATGAGTTCAGGCACTCAGTAATATTAGTATTGTTTAAAGATCCTTTTTTCTTGTTTGCAATTAATTCAGTAAAAAAAAAATCGGTGGCAGTTTGTTGAATCTACAGAAACATGACTGAAGACCACACCTTATGTAAGAAAGAATATACTCACCTTAGAGGGGCTGCAGCGTAGGGTCACTAGGTTGGTTCCTAGGATGAGGGGGTTGACCTACGAGGAAAGGTTGAGTAGACTATGCCTATATTCTCTAGAATATCGAAGAATTAGAGGTGATCTTATATAAACCTATAAGATTCTTAAGGGTCTTGACAGGGTAGGTAATTTGAGACTGTTTCCCCGGTTGGAGAATCTAAAACTAGGGGTCATAGTCTCAGGATTAAAGGTCAGCCCTTTAGAACTGAGTTGAGAAAACATTTCTTCACTCAGAGGGTAGTGAATTTATGGAATTCTCTACCCCAGAAGGCTGTGGATGTCAGTCATTGAACATATTCAAGACTGAGATCGGTAGATTTTTAAAAACTAAAGGGATTAAGGGATATGGGGATAGGGCAGCTAAATGGAATTAGGTTAGAAGATCAGCCATGATCTTATTAAATGGCGGGGTGGGCTCGAGGGGCCGAATGGCCTACTCCTCCTATTTCTTATGTTCTTAAGAAGGCAGTAACTGATGCATTACCCACTCTGCAAGGTTGCGCCCACAACAGGACTTCTCTTATTTCATAGCAAACTTTTGAATGAATTTTTCCAAGAAATGTCCTGTGAGTTTTGAGCAGCATGTTACAATACTGTAAGTATGGGCAGAACAGTATTTACAAATGGAAACTTTGTAATCCACATTGTATCAGTGTGTCAGTCTGGCTCAGTTGGTAGCACTCTTGCTTCTGAGTCAGACGGTTGTGAATTCAAGTCCACTTTGGGACTTTGAACTCAAGAGTGTAGGCTAACACCCCAATACAGTGTGGAGGATGCACTGCACTATTGAAAGTGGCGTCTTTTGGATGAGAGGTCCCGTCTACCTGTTCTGCTAGACGTTATGTTAAAGACGCTCTAGCGCTATTTAATAATAACAATAATAATAATCCTTGCATTTGATATAGCGCCTTATCGCGTCTTCAAGTCGTCTCAAACTGTTTCACAGAATATCCTGTAAAGTGAATTGACTGTATTTTGTATACCTGTATTTGACTGTATACCTGACGCAACATACTATTTGAAAACAGAAGGGAGTTTCTCCCAGTGTCTTCCTGGCCAACAATCCCCCAAATAAAAATGGTCATTCATTTCAAGGCTGTTTGAGGAGATATTGCTGTGTGAAAATCGGCTACCTTATTCACCTAGAAAATACACAGTCATGACACACTTTACAGTATATCCTGTGAAACTTAACACCTTCTAATACAGCTTGAATTGAGCTTTTAATGACCACTGATTTTAATGGAATGTTTCCTACAGGGAAATGCATATGTACTGAAGCAGTGGACTCACACATTGCTGAAAGGAATTATACAATATAGCTACTCGGTAGAGTTTGGTTTTGCAGTGATACGTAAATACTAAAGAGTGTGGTTCCCTCAACTCAAAGCTGGAGGTCTGCAAGGCATGTTTTACATATTATAAAACACAGTGAAAGTTTTTAAAGTGCTCTTAGAGTGACAGTTCAGGATGACCCTCTGCAATTTAGGAATGTCCATTGGAATATTTGAGCATAATCCATAACCACTGGTATTGTTTATAAATATAAATTTTGACAAGCATATTTTGTTGTTGTTCCCTTATACCTAGTTACATTTTTGCAGGGAATACTTCTTGAGGTTTTGGCGCCATACTCTTTTCTTTGTGCTATCTTCGTACGTAGGAGCTCTAGTAAAGAAAATATATATATTTCACTGACATTGCGTTGTAAAAGTTTCTCAAGAGGTCTGTTTTGCAATCCCTCTGTAAATTTTCAAACAGTAGTTTCAAAACTCAAGCAGTTTAATGTATATCAAATTCAAGCCGCCATCTATACCCCAATGTTTCTTTATGTGTTTGGCAGTGGATTTATGAGCAATAGCCTTCAACCATATTCTCAATTTTGAAAACAAAGTAGAATGGGATAGAGGGAACATAGATGGCCAAACCTCCGGACCAGTTACTTACTCAGTCGCAGTACACACTATGATAGAATTACTGGCACACATAATTCATGGGACCATGACCCTCCAAATACTTTTATCTGCTTGCATGCCCATAAAATCATTGTCCATAAATTCTAAGGCTATCTATGTTTCTTTAAAGGACCATCCCAGTAACCATTTTGTAACCTGCATGTTTTTATGCACAATAATAAAGATAATAATAATATTTGCATTTGATATAGGTGCCTTATCATGCTTTTGAGACACTTCAAAGAGTTTTGCAGAATATACTGTAAAGTGGATTGACTGTGTATTTTATGGGCGAAACTTGGTAGCCAATTGTGCACAGTAGCGTTCCACAAACAGCCAGGGAGTGAGTGATCAATTT